GATACGGAGCTCGGCGAAGCACGAGGTCGCCACTGGGCTGGACCTCACGTCGGCATCTGGCGCCGACTCCCCGTGTGTTTCGTGCGTCGGCGGGAAGCTGGCGCGGCACACCTTCCCCGACCACGGCTCCGAAGCCGACGATGTCCTGGCCGTCGTGCACATCGATTTGTGCGGGCCATTTCGCGTGGCTGCCAAGGATGGCAGCCTATACTTCTTGCTGCTCAAGGACCGCAAGACCCGCTATGTGTGGGTGAGGCCGGTCGCCAAGAAGTCGGACGTGCTGCTGGAGTTCCAGAAGTGGCTGGTGCTGGTGGAGCGGCAGGCGAAGCATTCGGTGCTGCAACTGCATTCTGATCGCGGAGGGGAGTTCCTCGGAAAAGACTTCACTGCCTTCGTGAACAGCAAGGGAATCGTTCACGACTTAACCTGCCCTTACACCCCGCAGCAGAATGGCATGGCGGAGCGGGAGATGAGGACGGTGGTGGAGTCGGTGCGGACGGTGCTGCTGCACATGGGCGTGCAGCACCACTGGTGGCATCTCGCTCTGCGGCAGGCCGTCTGGGTTCGCAACTGCCTGGAGCGGTCGACGCTGCCCGCGGGGACGACGCCGTACCAGCTTCTCACCGGGCAGAAGCCCGACCTGTCACTGGCGCGGGTGTGGGGCTGCATGGCACAATTTCTCGTCCCTGAGCAGCAGCGCGGTGGGAAGCTGAAGCCGAAGGCCCGGTGGGGCCTTCACCTCGGGGTGTCGGAGGAGAGCAAAGGCTGGGAGCTCCTTGACATCGCCGACAACCGGGTGGTCACCACGTCAGATGTGGTGTTCTACGAAACTCTGTCGCTGGAGGTGTGGAAGTCGGAATTCGGGCCCGCGTCGGGGCGGACGCGGGCCAACCCGCCGACGGACACCTCGACGGCGACGCTTCCTCTGCTCGCCGAGGTCGGTGAGCAGGCTGATGAGGATGTCGCGGTCGCCCCTGCCTCTCCATCTCCTGCCCCTTCTTCCCATTCCCTTCCCGTCGAACTGCGTGGCCTGCCTCCGGTGTCGGCCTCCGGCGATGAGGGGAGTCGTGGGGCGTCGCCTGTGGCGCCGGCCAAGCGCATCGCCGGTAGCCGACGTGACGCTCAGCCAGTCGCGGAGAAGAGGACCGCGGAGGAGACCGCGAAGGCCACCGAGAAGGAGCCCGCGGAGGAAACCGCGGAGGAGACCCCGAAGGAGACCGAGGAGGAAACCGCGGAGAAAACCGCGGAGGAGATCGCGAAGAAAACCGCGAAGGAGCCCGCAGAAGAAACCGCGGAGGAGACCACGAAGCCAACCGCGGAGCAGTTGGCAGGGGAGCTTTCGAACGGGAAGCGCGTTTCAGAGAAGCCGTCGCCAGGGGAGCCGTCGAACGCGGAGCTCGCTTCAGAGGAGCGGACGACAGGGGAGCAGTTCGATGAAGGCACATCGAGCGACGTGGTGGAGGTGCAGCCCGGACCTCGGAAGTCGGGCCGAATTCGGAGGCCACCCGATTTTTTCGTCCCCGCTGCCTTCACCACGGTGTACGACGTGGACGACGACGACCTGGCGTACGATGACGCCGAGGACGATGAGGCGTTTTCGGAGCTCGACCCCGACATGCACGCCGATCCCGAGCACCGTTGGGACATTTCGACCATGACGGTGAAGGAGGCGTTGGCGAGCTGGAAGGGCCCGGCGGTGAAAGCCGCCATGGAGGAAGAGATTCGTAGCCTCATCAACATGGGCACTTGGGAGCTGGTCGAACGCCCGCCGGGGGTGAACATAATGAAGAACCGGTGGGTGCTGACAACGAAGTACCGCATCGACGACACTGTCGAGCGCGAAAAGGCGAGGCTGGTCGTGAAAGGCTTCACGCAGGTGTATGGCGCTGACTACGACGAGACGTACGCGCCGGTGAGCAGCTACGTCACGCTGAGGATCTTCCTCACCATCGTCGCCGTCCTCGACCTCAACCTGATGCAGCTGGACATGAAGAACGCCTTTTTGCAGAGCAAGCTCGATCGCGTGCTGTACATGTACCAGCCGGACTACTTCAACGACGGGACCGGCCGGGTGTGCAAGCTGCTGAAGAGCCTCTACGGGCTGAAGCAGTCGCCGCTGCTGTGGTACACGGCTCTCAACGACGTGTTGGTTGGCGCCGGGTGGAAGAAGAGCCAAGTCAATGAGGCTCTGTACTTCAAGGCCGGTGACGACAAGGTGACCTGCTGGGTGCTGGTCTACGTCGACGACCTTCTCGCCGCGAGCAGCAGCACAGCACAGCTGAAGGAGCTGAAGGAGCTGCTGGAGGCCGCTTTCGAGCTGTGCGAAATTTCGCCGGTGCAGAAGTATCTCGGCCTGGAGATCGTGCGCGACAGGCCGGCACGAAAATTGTGGCTGCACCAGCAGAGCTACGCCGATAAGCTGCGCAGGCGCTTCATCGACGAGGAGCAGACCGGGCGCACTCCGAAGACGCCGGTCTCCGTCGCTGCCTACGCGGAGCAGACATTCGACGACGAGGAAGCGCAGGAGCGCGAGGAGGAGGAGGACCGGCAGAAGGTTGGCTCGCTGCAGTTCGCGGCGACGACGACGAGGCCGGACATCGCATTCGCGTGCAGCAAGCTGGGGAGCGGCCTCACGGTGAGGAGCGACCAGCACTGGCGCTAAGTCGACCGCTGCCTCGCCTACCTCGCCAACACGCGAGACACCGCCCTGGAGTACGGCGGTGGTCCGGAGTCACTGGAGTTGGTCGGCTTCGTGGACGCCGACAACGCGGGCGACAAGCAGAACCGGATGAGCACGGGCGGCTACGTGTTCGTCTACGGAGGGGCCGCGGTCTCCTGGTCGAGCCAGCGCATCAAGTGCGCGACGCTGTCGTCGACCGAGTCGGAGTACGTGGCGGCCGTCGAAGCCGGCAAGGAGGGACGTCGCCTTCGTTTCCTCCTCGCGGAGTTCCAGCGGCTGGACGCCGGAAAGCCGACTGTCCTCAGGGTGGACAACAAGTCGGCCATCACGGTCGGCGAGGGCATGGGGTTAACGGGCAACCTCAAGCACATGGAACGGCGACAGGCCTGGCTGCAGCACATGGTGAAGCGCGGGAAGTTTTCGCTGAAGTACATCCCGACCGCTGAGCAGCCGGCCGACTTCCTAACGAAGGCGCTGCACTACCCGGCCTTCAACCGGTGCTCCGTTGCAATCGGCCAAGTGCGCCTGGCCGATGTGGGCGACGGTGACAACGACGTGCAGCAGTAGGTGCCATGCCCTTTTGCATGGCTGGTGCGGTGACCGGCGTGCTGTGCGTTGTGTGCACGCCGACGGGCTATTCTCCGAACAGTACTGCCGTGTGGGCCGGGGGGGGGGGCCAAGCGTGAACGCGGCAGGGGAGTGTCAACGGGAGTTGTGTTTGGCCCCGTCCTCGCTTGGGCGGAGCCGACCGTGGGAGCCACGAAATCGCAGTGGCCCATGGCAGCCACGAAATCGCAGTGGCCCGTGGCAGCCACGAAATCGCAGTGGCCAGTGGCAGCCACGAAATCGCAGTGGCCCGTGGCAGCCACGAAATCGCAGTGGCCCGTGGCAGCCACGAAATCGCAGTGGCCCGTGGCAGCCACGAAATCGCAGTGGCCCGTGGGAGCCACGAAATCGCAGTGGCTTGTGGGAGCCACGAAATCGCAGTGGAGGACCGCGGTGGCCGAGAAACCGCGGGAGGACCGCGAAATACCCGGTCAACCAGGATACCCGGGCGACGTGCGCGAAAGTCGCCGGGGATGTTGTCTGCGAGGACGACCTCGGGGGTGGTATCCCGAGGTCGACGTGGCTGGTGGGCGCCGTCACGGGTGAAGTGTCTGCGCTGGGCATGTGACTGGGAGTTGGGCGCCAACCAGCTGCACGCACCTGCGAAGCTGGTGCACCGTTGTCCCGCGGATGCGACGCTGTGCAGCCGACATACTGCAGCGTTGGCGCACCGCGGACTTGCAACGTTGGCAGGCCGCGACTCTGCTCTGCTGGAGCGCGGTCGACCAAGTCGTGCTGGCACGCGGTCGACCGTGCTGCGCTGGCAGTGGACCAGCAGCCTTGCTAGGTCTAATGTAGTCATTGTTGCCAATGTTGCTATAATTATTCTGAACTTTTGTTGTCATGTTTTCCTAGTGAAACTCTTGCCAATTTTCCCCGTGAACTAGCAAGCAGTGTTAGCACTTGGAAACGACTAAGGAACGAACGAACGCAGAGATCACACGAGCATCCGTGCCTAGCCCGCAGTCTAGCTCCCGTTGCAATAGTTATCTCCGCACCGGCTGCCTTCACCACGGCGTACGACGAGGTCGACGACGACTTGCTGTACGACGACGCCGAGGAGGATGAGGAACTGCCGGAGATCGACCCCGACATGCACGCCGACCCCGAGCACCGCTGGGACATCTCCACGATGACGGTGAAGGAGGCGTTGGCAAGCTGGAAGGGCAAGGACGGTGAAAGCCGCCATGGAGGAGGAGATCCGCAGCCTCATCAGCATGGGAACTTGGGAGCTGGTCGACTGCCCACCTGGAGTGAACATCATGAAGAACCGGTGGGTGCTGACGACGAAGTACCGCATCGACGACACCGTCGAGCGCGAGAAGGCGAGGCTGGTCGTGAAGGGCTTCACACAGGTGTATGGCGCCGACTACGACGAGACGTACGCGCCGGTGAGCAGCTACGTCACGCTGAGGATCTTCCTCAGCATCGTCGCCGTCCTCAACCTCAACCTGATGCAGCTCGACATGAAGAACGCCTTCCTGCAAAGCAAGCTCGACCGGGTGCTTTACATGTACCAGCCGGACCACTTCAACAATGGAACCGGCCGGGTGTGCAAGCTGCTGAAGAGCCTGTACGGGCTGAAGAAGTCGCCGCTGCTGTGGTACAAGGCGCTCAACGACGTGCTGGTCGGCGCCGGGTGGAAGAAGAGCCAGGTCGACGAGGCGTTGTACTTCAAGGTCGGCGCCGATGGTGTGGCCTGCTGGGTGCTGGTCTACGTCGACGACCTGCTCGCCGCCAGCAGCAGCCCCGCGATGCAGAAGGAGCTGAAGGAGCTGCTGGAGGCCGCCTTCGAGAGAACGTATGAGAGAGCGCGTGAGTGAGGGCGTGAGTGAGGGCGTGAGTGTGCGCGTGAGAGAGCGTGTGAGAGAGCGCGTGAGAGAGCGCGTGAGAGAGCGCGTGAGGGAGTGTGTGAGGGAACGCTTGAGAGAGCGCGTGAGAGAGCGCGTGAGAGAGCGCATGAGGGAGCGCGTGAGAGAGCGCGTGAGAGAGTGGGTGAGAGAGCGCGAGAGGGAGCGTGTGAGAGAGCGCGTGAGAGGGCGCGTGAGAGAGCGTGAGAGAGCGCGTGAGGGAGCGCGTGAGAGAGCGTTTGAGAGAGCGCGTGAGAGAGCGCGTGAGGGAGCGCGTGAGAGAGTGCATGAGAGTGCGTGCGAGAGCGCGTGATTGTGCGCGTGAGAGTGTGCGTGAGAGGCGCGTGAGAGAGCGTATGAGAGAGCGCGTGAGAGAGCGCGTGAGAGTGCGCGTGAGAGAGCGCGTAAGGGTGCGCGTTAGTGAGCGCGTGAGGGCACACGTGAGAGAGCGCATGAGAGAGCGCGTGAGAGCGCATAAGAGAGCGCATGGCAGAGCGTGTGGGAGAGCACGTGAGAGAGCGTGTGAGAGAGCGTATGAGAGAGCGCGTGAGTGAGGGCGTGAGTGAGGGCGTGAGTGTGTGCGTGAGAGAGCGTGTGAGAGAGCGCGTGAGAGAGCGCGTGAGAGAGCGCATGAGAGAGCACGTGAGGGAGCGCGTGAGGGAACGCTTGAGAGAGCGCGTGAGAGAGCGCGTGAGAGAGCGTGTGAGGGAGCGCGTGAGAGAGTGCATGAGAGAGTGCGTGCGAGAGCGCGTGATTGTGCGCGTGAGAGTGCGCGTGAGAGGCGCGTGAGAGAGCATGTGAGAGAGCGCGTGAGAGAGCGCGTGAGAGTGCGCGTGAGAGAGCGCGTAAGGGTGCGCGTTAGTGAGCGCGTGAGGGCACACGTGAGAGAGCGCATGAGAGCGCGTGAGAGCGCGTAAGGGAGCGCGTGGCAGAGCGTGTGGGAGAGCACGTGAGAGAGCGTGTGAGAGAACGTATGAGAGAGCGCGTGAGTGAGGGCGTGAGTGAGGGCGTGAGTGTGCGCGTGAGAGAGCGTGTGAGAGAGCGCGTGAGAGAGCGCGTGAGAGAGCGCGTGAGGGAGCGCGTGAGGGAACGCTTGAGAGAGCGCGTGAGAGAGAGCGTGAGAGAGCACGATAGAGAACGCGTGTGAGAGCGCGTGAGAGAGCGCGTGAGAGAGAGCGCGTGAGAGAGCGCGTGAGGGAGCGCGTGAGAGAGCGCGTGAGAGAGCGCGTGAGAGAGCGCGAGAGGGAGCGTGTGAGAGAGCGCGCGAGAGAGCGCGTGAGAGAGCGTTTGAGAGAGCGCGTGAGAGAGCGCGTGAGGGAGCGCGTGAGAGAGTGCATGAGAGAGTGCGTGCGAGAGCGCGTGATTGTGCGCGTGAGAGTGCGCGTGAGAGGCGCGTGAGAGAGCATGTGAGAGAGCGCGTGAGAGAGCGCGTGAGAGTGCGCGTGAGAGAGCGCGTAAGGGTGCGCGTTAGTGAGCGCGTGAGGGCACACGTGAGAGAGCGCATGAGAGCGCGTGAGAGCGCGTAAGGGAGCGCGTGGCAGAGCGTGTGGGAGAGCACGTGAGAGAGCGTGTGAGAGAACGTATGAGAGAGCGCGTGAGTGAGGGCGTGAGTGAGGGCGTGAGTGTGCGCGTGAGAGAGCGTGTGAGAGAGCGCGTGAGAGAGCGCGTGAGAGAGCGCGTGAGGGAGCGCGTGAGGGAACGCTTGAGAGAGCGCGTGAGAGAGCGCGTGAGAGAGCACGATAGAGAACGCGTGTGAGAGCGCGTGAGAGAGCGCGTGAGAGAGAGCGCGTGAGAGAGCGCGTGAGGGAGCGCGTGAGAGAGCGCGTGAGAGAGCGCGTGAGAGAGCGCGAGAGGGAGCGTGTGAGAGAGCGCGCGAGAGAGCGCGTGAGAGAGCGTTTGAGAGAGCGCGTGAGAGAGCGCGTGAGGGAGCGCGTGAGAGAGTGCATGAGAGAGTGCGTGCGAGAGCGCGTGATTGTGCGCGTGAGAGTGCGCGTGAGAGGCGCGTGAGAGAGCGTATGAGAGAGCGCGTGAGAGAGCGCGTGAGAGTGCGCGTGAGAGAGCGCGTAAGGGTGCGCGTTAGTGAGCGCGTGAGGGCACACGTGAGAGAGCACATGAGAGAGCGCGTGAGAGCGCGTAAGAGAGCGCGTGGCAGAGCGTGTGGGAGAGCACGTGAGAGAGCGTGTGAGAGAGCGTATGAGAGAGCGCGTGAGAGAGCGCGTGTGAGAGCGCGTGAGAGAGCGCATGAGAGAGCGCGTGAGGGAGCGCGTGAGGGAACGCTTGAGAGAGTGCGTGAGAGAGCGCGTGAGAGAGCGCGATAGAGAACGCGTGTGAGACCGCGTGAGAGAGCGCGTGAGAGAGCGCGCGAGAGAGCGCGTGAGAGAGCACGCGAGAGAACGCATGAGAGAGCGCGTGAGAGAGCGCGTGAGAGAGGCCTGGGAGAGCGTGTGGGAGAGCACGTGAGAGAGAGTGTGAGAGAGCGCATGAGTGTGCGAGTGAGTGAGGGCGTGAGTGTGCGCGTGGGAGAGCGTGTGAGAGAGCGCGTGAGAGAGCGCGTGAGAGAGTGCATGAGAGAGCGTGTGAGAGAGCGCATGAGAGAGCGCGCGAGAGAACGCATGAGAGAGCGCGTGAGAGAGCGCGTGAGAGTGGCATGGGAGAGCGTGTGGGAGAGCACGTGAGAGAGAGTGTGAGAGAGCGCATGAGAGAGAGCGTGAGAGAGCACATGAGAGAGCGAGTGAGAGCGCGTGAGAGAGTGCGTGAGAGAGTGCGTGAGAGAGCGCGAGAGAGAGCGCGAGAGAGAGCGCATGAGAGAGCGCGTGAGGGAGCGCGTGAGAGATCGTGTGATACAGCGCGTGAGAGAGCGCGTGAGAGAGTGCGTGGGAGAACGCGTGCGTGGGAGAACGCATGCAAGAGCGCGTGAGAGAGCGTGTGAGGGAGCACGTGAGAGAGTGCGAGAGAGCGCGTGAGAGAGCGCCTAAGAGAGCGCATGAGAGAGCGCGTGAGAGAGTGCGTGACAGAGTGCGTGAAAGAGCGCGCGAGAGAGCGCGCGAGAGTGCGCGTGAGAGCGCATGGGAGAGCGCGTGAGAGAGCGCGTCAGAGAGTGCGTGAGAGAGCGCGTGAGAGAGCGCATGAGAGAGCGCGTGAGAGAGCGCGTGAGAGAGCGCGTGAGAGAGTGCGTGAGGGAGCAAGTGAAGGAGCGCGTGGGAAAGCGCGTGAAAGAGCGCATGAGAGTGCGCGCGAGAGAGTGCGCGAGAGAGCGCGCAAGTGTGCGCGTGAGTGTGCGCGTGAGAGTGCGCGTGAGTGTGCGCGTGAGAGTGCGCGTGAGAGTGCGCGAGGGAGCGCGCGAGGGAGCGCGTGAGAGAGCGCGTGAGGGAGCGCGTAAGGGAGTGAGTGAGGGAGCGAGTGAGAGAGCGCGTGAGAGAGCGCGCGAGAGAGCGCATGAGAGAGCACGTGCGAGAGCGTGTGATTTTGTCTAAGAAAGTTGAGAGTATTTTTGCGAGATTTAGTACAAGAGTGAGTGCGAACGTGAGGATGAAGCTGAACGCAAGGGTGGCTGCAAGGTATTGCATCAATTTGTGGTGCGTACGCCGGCGTAGTATTGTGACACGACTTTCAGAGGAGTGTGCAGTGCAGTCGTCCTAGCATTTCAAATCTCAATAATACAGCACACTCAATATCGATAAGTACAATATTATGTTGAAGCAAAACCTAGGTGGGAAATGGGGAGTGGAGGGTGGGAGCATGAGAGTTGAAAATTGCAAATGAGACTAGGTGGCAGGTCCCCAAGACCTGCCGAAAGAAGAAGGAGCTTGTCTCCTTTACAGCACACCCCTCTTCAAATCGAATCACAATTTGTAAAAGGGAGGGAAGGCAGCATGAGGGAGGTGCAACGTGAGAATCAGGGTCGAAAGGGTGCATGCGACCGCCCTTTATAGGTCGAGGAAATAGAGATACAGAGACCTACTCTGCATTGACCCCCCTTTGTGGGTTGTAACACCTGATGCGCCCTATCTGGGACCTCATTGGACTCTAAATGGGCTTTGCTCGGGGATTTATGGGGCTTCAACATGAATTTGACATGGTTTTACTATGGGAGCGGTCTAAGCACGTTGTACCAAGTCGCTCACCTTATCATGGTGTTTGGATGTGATTGTGAGAGTACAACGGCTTATGCTGGCTTTGCTAGCTTGCTTGGACTTTATTATGCTATTTCTAGCTTAGGTTTATTTTATCATGCATAGATATGCTTGATTTCCTAGGTTAGGTGCATTCCTATATGCTATTATAGTTATAGCACCGAACCAGGTTATGTGTACCGAACTCAAGCCTTTTCGGTTGCCTCCGAATTGCTTTCTACCGAGTTCGGGAAGGCTCTATTCGGGACGCTTCGCGACCCTCAGAACATTCGCGTAACACCTGGGTTACTGGCCTTGTGTCGAGACTATATATAGCCTCATGTTGTACCCAGGTGGATCATTCAATTCAAACCTACTTTTCTGAGCTCGATCCTAGATCCTCACACTTGGTATCAGAGCCTATTTACATGCGAAGTTTTTCGACCGCTAAAACCTAGCTTTTAAAACCGCGGGGGCGACGACGAAAAGGGTAGATTTCGGGTACGTAAACCAGTTCCGCGCTATTTTTTAACGTCCCCCTCGAACCGGTTTTCGAACACTCCTCAGGTTCAGTGGCGAAAAAGTTGGGATTTCGACCGTCATATCGATTCGAATCTCAACGGCCCTGATAATTTCGTCCAAAAAAGTTGGATTTTGGAGCGTCGGATCAAATTTCTTCTCAACGGCCGAGATCGGACGAGAACTTCGACTAAGGGAGAATTACGTGACCTACAGAATCAGCGGCCCCCCATTTCTACAGTCGATCCGACTCACAGTAAGTCGACCAGCGCCTAAAATTTAATTATTTTCGTCGCAAATCTTCCTGTAAATCGCCAAATGGAGGAAAATGGTGATAATTCCGTACGAAAAAATACGAAGTTACACACCGGCCTGGACCAGATGCGAGCGGCGTAAAAAACTAACGAGCAGGGATGGATGAACTAGCAGCAGGATGGGTACAAGTACTAACCCTAAGTTGGATTTTTGACACACCCCCATAGGCAAAGTGGGGGAGAACAAGAGGTCACAAGACCAGTCAAAAAAAGCAAAGCAAGCTCAGGGTGGATCACGAAGTCACCACACACTCTGAGCACAAGCAAATGGCCACAAGGCCAGTTCACATGTAGAGTTATATAATGGTGAACAAGCAGTACAGTGATCAAAACCTAGCAAGTGTAAGCATGCAGGTATAAGTATGTAGATCACAGTACAAGCAAAGTCAAGACGTGAGCAAGTGAGGCCAAGTAGGCACAAGGCCTAAAATAGTACAGAAACGCTGATGATCACAAGGCTGAAGTGCCTTGGTGAAGATATCAGCAGTGTTGGCCCGAGAGGCCACGTAAGCAAGACGAAGCTGACCACGCCGCTGCAACTCTCGTCCTGTGCTCTAGACTGTGCTCCTGACACAAGGCAATCATGTCCTTGTTGTCGACGAACAGAACAGGAGGAGAACGAGGCGGCTCTCCCAAGTCGGTCAGCACGTAGGTAAGCCAGCGTAACTACTGTGCAGCCATGGCCCCTGCGTAGATCTCAGCCTCACAACTGGAACTGAGAACTGAAGACGAGCGGGTAGTCCGTGCGGAGCCTGGGGGTTCTGAGGCTGGGGTTGCTGAGTCTGAGGGTGCGGAGCCTGGGGGTGCTGAGCCTGAGCGTGCGGAGCCTGGGGGTGCTGAGCCTGGGGGTGCTGAGCCTGAGTGTGCTGAGCCTGTAGGTCCTTTGTCTGCTGGTCGTCCTACGGGTGCCTCGTCACGGCGGGAGCCTCTCTCTCCACCGCAGCTGCGCGAGTGGTTTGCTCGGCGCTGGAGCCTTCGGAGTGGAGTTACTGGAGCTGGGGGGCCTGTCGCTGGAGGCCCTGGAGCTGGAGGCTCTGGAGCTGCTGGTCCTGGAGGTGCTGGAGCTGCTGGTCTCGAAGGTGCTTATACTGGAGGTACTTGAGCTGCTGGAGCCGGTGGTATTGCAGGCGCTAGAGTTGGAGACACTGGAGCTGGAGGCGCTGGAGCTGCAGGTACCGGAGGTACTGGAGCTGCTGGTCCTGGCGGTGCTGGAGGTCCTACGGGTGTCCCGTCACGGCGGGAGCCTCTCTCTCCACCGCAGCTGCGAGAGTGGTTTGCTCGGCGCTGGAGCCTTCAGAGTGGCGCTGCTGGAGCCGGGGGGCCTGCCGCTGAAGGCACTGGAGCTGCTAGTCCTGGAGGTCCTGGAGGTCCTGGAGGTGCTGGAGCCGCTGGTCCCGGAGGTGCTCGTACTGGAGGTACTGGAGCTTCTGGAGCTGGAGGTGCTGCAGGCGTTGGAGTTGGAGGCGCTGTCGCAGGAGGTAGCGGAGGTGCTGGAGCTGCTGGTCCTGGAGGTGCTGGAGGTGCTGGAGCCGCTGGTCCCGGAGGTGTTCGTACTGGAGGTACTGGAGCTGCTGGAGCCGGAGGTGCTGCAGGAGTTGGAGCTGGAGGCGCTGGAGCTAGAGCTGCTGGAGGTACTGGAGCCGCTGGTCCCGGAGGTGCTCGTACTGGAGGTACTGGAGCTGCTGGAGCTGGTGGTGCCGCAGCCGTTGGAGCTGGAGACCCTGGAGCTAGAGACCCCGGAGCTGGAGGCGCTGGCCCTGGAGGCGCTGGTGCTGTTGGTGCTGGTTCTGGAGGCACTATGCGGCCGCGACCGTACTTCATTCCACTGCTTCAGCAGGTTCTTGGTCTCCCGTCTTCTACTGGCCATACTCCTCCCTTACTGTGTCCACCGCCTGACCAGTCGCAGCCGCAGTTACATCTAGCCTCCCCCCTGCCTGCTCTTTCTCCTTACACTAAACAGAACGGAGGTGTTACAGAGCATCGTAAGCCCGCGTCTCGTCCTGCCTCGCCTGTTCGCGCTGTTCGCACTGGTCGTCGTGTTCCGCGCCAGCGTCCTCCTCCTGTCCCCGGCACGCACCATATGGCACTTCGTCCTTCCTCTGCTCCACAGTGTGTCCCCCTGCCGTCTCCTCCTGTGTCCTCTCTTGCTGACGGACCGGACCCTGAGTCTGACTTACTTCGTGCTGCTAGTCCTACCGTCACACGTCATCTGGCCACTGTTGTCACTGACCCTTCGTTTAAGTCCACTGCTGCGTCTGCCCTAGTTGCTGAGCTTGTTGACTTTGCTGCCGCCTGTGGTCTCGACTACGCCGCTAGTCTTGTTGCTGAGTCTGAGTCTGTCTGTCCTCCGTCCGTCGGGGGTGAGTGTGCTCTTGGCACGGACGTCCTTGAGGACAGGCAGGAGGACTTTGAGTATTTTGCAGCTGCTGTACCTCATCTAGTGTCCATGCTGATTGCACCTGAGGGAGACCCGGATGCACCAGACATCCCGACCCCGCGCTCTTACGCAGAGGCGATTACGGGTCCCTACTCCTCTCAGTGGCAGACATCCATGGATGTAGAGATGGCATCCTGGATTCCACAGGCATTTACGTCGACGCAGTTCCCCCTCCTGGGGCGAACATAGTTGATGGCATGTGGATTTTCAGGGTGAAGCGGCCGCCGGGTTC